TTCTTGATAACTGAGATCACTTTGTGGTCTTTTGACTCTTTTTCAGGAAGACATATATAGCTTTATATTTGGCTTATGATTTGAAAGTTATTCTCATAACTGTATGACTACAGCTGAATTCTTTTTATAGCATGGTTACCTGAAAAGCAGGTGTAACAGTAGATTATTTAGGCTGACAAATGGCAACCTTTATGTTTATTAAATATACAAAGATATAAGCTGTTCAGTCAAATAAGAAGTGTAACAATAGCAGTTGGGTGTTCTTTTAGTATTCGTAACAGATCTGGTCGTGCTGAGCTCAAGCCATCTCTAGGTTTTGTTTGGTCTAAATTGTACACCAGTAATTTCTGTGTGCAAAAATATTTGCATTAGATATCTGTTAACATAACCTTTTTCTTTACTCAGAATTCTTTGCATTTATTTGCATTATTGTTCAGTGATTCCTGTCAAATGAGTCTCAGCATGGAGGCACTAGCATTCAGTGACTGCTGAATTAAAGATTCTTTTCCAGAAAGTGGCAAAATGTTTAGAGAGTGTCAGAAAACAAAAACTTCTTTTGTTTGTTTTGAGTCAATTTGAGGACCTTTTGTTAAAGGTGTATAAGAAACATCTTGCACTTCAAGATGTTTGATAGGCTTCCAGATCTTAGCATTCTCAAGATGTAAGTGTATCGGCTGTCAGTACTTCTTCATGGGTCTGTAGAGAAGTGCCACTTTGGCTTATCTCCTTTCTGGCTTAAATGATCCAAGTTACCAAGTTTCAATTACAGTAGAGAAGATGTTTTTGAAAACTTCAAGTTATTTTCATAGGCGAAACAAGGATTTGCGATGAGCTAAACATTAATGATATATTCAATATTCTTATAAAAAAAATGAAGACACTCTCTGGAACACTGCTACTTTTGAATTCTTGGTGGTAGTGTTTATTAAACAAGGAGAAAGAGTGGGAATAAACACAAATGACTTCTGACCACCCACTAAAAGTCTTTTCTTAGTACTGCTGCTTCTAGATGGCCTTATAGATTGATAGGTCTGGTATTTTCCAAGATGCCGCTAAAGGAAAATCCAGTTCCTTATACTGACACACTTCTGCCTGTTGTACAGATTTTTTAAATACAGATGGAAAATGATGGGACGTACAACAAGGGCAAATCATGTATATAGATTTGTCTTCATCCTTCCACTTTCCCT